GCGGCATTCCTCTCACTAACGCTGAAGGAGGAGGAGCATGTCTCTCTGTCATGCTCCTTTGCGATTCCCACATCCTGTGCTGGGAATTGTGGGAACTGCAGGGAGCATGATAGAGAGACATGCTCCTTCTCCTTCAGCGTTAGTGAGAGGAATGCCGCCGGACCGGCGAGGCTGCCACCCGGTCCGGCGGCTCCAGCATGAAACGTGGCCGGCCCCCTTGCAGTGTGCCACCGGACCGGCCACCCGGTGGCACCTTCCACTGAAGTCCCCAGATGCCGCCCCCAATCCAGCCCTGCTGCAGGGCCCCCTGAAGGCGGCCCTGTCGGCGGGCCCCCCTCCCGGCTGGGCCCTCGGACCAGTCCGCCCCTGCTTCCACTTCTTACACTCACTAATACATCCTAATTAACCTGTCACTATAGATCACAGGTAAACAGACGCATTAACATAGAATGTGCTGAATGTGGACAGTTTAACCCTCTCAATGCTGGTGGAAAAGTAGCACCATGGTAAATAGGTACCCACAATGACACAGTATCCATACACACATATACAAAATCAACACACTCACACGTCCTCTGCATTAACTCGTTATGCAAGCGCATTTCTCTGGTGTTACCACAAGTGGAATATCAGAGGACAAAAGAGAGACAGGGTTGGGAGAGGGTTTTGTGTGTGTGTGTGTTTATAGGGAGGCTGATTAGGAATTTGTTTGTGTTAGGAGGATGATTGTGAGGTTGCCTGTTTGGGGGGTTACAAAAAGGCAGCACATGCGTCGGCCTTTGAGCGTACCGGTTCAGGAGCGCTAAATCTGGGGTCGGGGTGACCAGCAGATGGAGAAAGTTCTCTAAATTGCTAAAATACTAATTACACTGTGTTCTATTTCTTACTTTGTAGCAGTGTGTAGCACTGTGTATGTGTAGCCTGTGTATTCTGTTTCAGTGTGGCTGTAGCCTGTAGTATTGTGTATATCAAATCTGATTATGTATTCTCTTTGTTTGTGGCAGTGTGTCATTATGTGTATACGGTGTCTCAGTGTGGATGTTGTTAGGGCCGGTGAAAGGATTTTTGGCTACAAAGGCGAAGATGCCTTTTGCCGCCTCCCCAATGCCAAAAATATGCGTCTTCACCTGTCTCGTTACCCCATTTTTAAAATTTCTTACTTTTTTTAACCCCTCTTGTCATTATTATCTCCTCTGTATACTGGCTCTCTGTATACTTTGAGTGTATGTGTTTAGCAGTATGCTATTGTGTGTATACATTGTCTAAGTGTGTATCTGTGATTGTATATGTGTGTCTATTAATCTGCATGTGTGTCAGTGTGTTCATATCTCTGTGCCTGTGTATCTGCATGTGTGGGAATGTTTGTATCTGTGTGTTTGTACATATGTATGTGTGCCAGTGTGTACATGTAGTTGTCAGTGTTTGTATCTGTATGCATGTCAGTGTTTTTATCTGTCTATTTGCATGTGTATCAGTGTGTCCATGCATCTGCATGTATGTCAGCATGTTTATCAAACACTGACACGCATACAGATACAGACACACTGACACAGATATACAGGCACACAGATACAATGCCACACATGCAGATACACAGACGCAAACACTCACATACATACAGTTGCACAGACACTAATGCACACACACTGACACATATACAGATACACCGCTACATACACTGACATACAAGCAGATACAGAGATATACACACTGACACACATACAGATGTACAGACACAGAGATACAAACGTTGTCACACAGACACATAGACACACAGATACAGACACACATGTAGATACACACTGACACATACAGATGTACAGACACACAGAAACATACACTGACACACATCCAGATACACATACAAATGAAGTAAAACCAGAGGGGGAATTCAGCGCTAGTAGTTTACTGGTACAGTTCAAGAGGCAGTTCAATCACTGAATCCAGGGTCTCTCTTGTCCAGAAGGGGTGAATGGAGAAACAGAGGGGTGATGTAGCGCCAAGTATGTCACTTTTTGGGAGCTTAGGTGCAGCTCTGACTTTTGCGCTTGGCCAGAATGACCCCCGCCCAGGGATATTATGTGGTCACAGGTCTGCAGATAATCCTTCTTTCAGTTGTTTTCCTCGTCGGCAGACTCCTGGTCAGGGAAAAGTAATCAAACCTGATTCTTTATTCACTGCTTACAGCAAAAATATATGAAGTGGGGCTGCAAACTTCAAAAGTGAAAGGTGACTCACTGATACACATACCGATGCACAAACACATTAATACACACACCGAGACACATGCAGATACACAGATACACAAACTGACACACATACAGATGTACAGACACACAATACAAACACTGACAGACATGCAGATACACAGACATTCAGATACAGACACACATACAGATACAAACACTATATTCATACAGACACCCAAAACACACACATACAGGCCACAATTTTAACCACCCTTCAGTTTCTTACCTTTCAGGTGCAGGAGGCTTGTGGGAGTTAGGGGCTTACTCTCTTGGTCCGGCCCCCTGTCCTCCCCCTCCCACGCGGCTGGCTCTGTGTCTGAGTCTGAGTTTTTGCCTTGCCCCCCATCCCCCTTGTCTCTGTTGACTAGCTTGAGCTTCCATCTCACTTGGTTAATTCTCAATTAACCCAGTCAAGAGCTAATATATGCCGATAAGCGATAACCCCCAGGGATGCATGCATTTATCAGACCAAAACCCATCTGGGAGGGCTTGCCCTGGTATCTCCCGGCCGCTTTGGTGACCCTAGATAATCTCTGGCCAATCGCACGTCCCTGTGACAGCGATGACACATTCGAATGTCTGCACTATCAACTTGATGGTACTTTCTGCACGTACCATAGTGACCACGGGTGACTGGGAATTAGGGTTCAGTTCCGGAGAGGGAGTTTGAGAATGGCTACCACATCCAAGGAAGGCAGCATGCGTGCAAATTACCCACTCCCGACGCAGATAAGCAGTGATGAAAAATAACAATACAGGACTCTTTCGAGACCCTGTAATTGGAATAAGTACACTTTAAATTCTTTAACCCCTTAAGGACGCAACTTCTGGAATAAAAGGGAATCATGACAGAATATTTCCGTCATGTGTCCTTAAGGGGTTAATGAGGATCTATTGGAGGGCAAGTCTGGTGCCAGCAGTCGTGGTAATTCCCGTTCCAATAGCGTATTTTAAAGTTGCTGCAGTTAAAATGGTAATAGTTGGATCTTGGGATCGAGCTGTTGGTCTGCCGTGAGTCGAGCTACCGCCTTTCCTAGCCACAGCCTCTCGTGGCCCCTGTGATGCTCTTGACTGAGTGTCATGAAAGCCCGAAACTGTTACTTTAAAAAAATTAGAGTGTTCAAAGCCGGCCTGCCGCCTGAATACTTCAGCTAGGAATATTGGAATAGGACTCCAGTTCTATTTTTTTAGTTTTCGGAACTGGGGCAATGATTAAGAGGAACAACTGGGGGCATTTCTTCTGGGAAACCAAAGTCTTTGGGTTTTTGGGTTCCGGGGGGAGTATGGTTGCAAAGCTGAAACTTAAAGGAATTGATGGAAGGGTACCACCAGGAGTGGACCCTGTGGCTTAATTTGACTCAAAACTGGAAATCTCACTTTAAAGAGAGAGTACAAGAGGGCATGAAATGGTTAAGAGGTAAACGGGTCAGTGTCGTCCTCCCAGAGGATTCAACCTGACGGGCCCAGGCCGGCCAATGCTGGCACCCGCAGATACGTCCGCCCTCCTGTCCCCCCTCTTGACCCCGGGTTAAGGTGCCCGATTCCGACGCTCATCAGACCCCAGAAAAGGTGTTGGTTGATATAGACACCAGGACAGTGGTCATGAAAGTCGGAATCCGCTAAGGAGTGTGTAACAATTCACCTGCAAATCAACTAGCCCTGAAAATGGATGGTGCTGGAACATCGGGCCCATACCCAGCCATCATCGACTGGGTATGAAAGTCCATGGGAGCTAGGCCGGGATGGCTCTCCTACTCTGGGTGCAGAAGTCCGAGTGGAGCCACCGCAGGGGCAGATTTTGGTGGTAGTAGAAAATATTCAAACGAGAACTATGAAGGCCGAAGTGGAGAACTGCCAAGTAAACAGCAATTGAACATGGGTCAGTCAATCCTAAGAGATAGGCGAGCGTAGTTCGGAAGGGACGGATGATGGCCACCATTACTCTCGACTGATTGAAAGACAGTCGGGTTCAGATTCCTAGACTCGGAGCAGTGGAGACGGACGCCCTCATGGACGTCCAGTGCGGTAACATGACCGATCCAGGAGAAGCTGGTGGGAGCCCCGGGGAGAGATCTCTTTTCTTTGTGAAGGGCAGGGTACCCTGGAATGGGTTCGCCCCGAGAGAGAGGCCAGCATCTTGGAAAGCATCGCTGTTCTGGGAACGTCCGGTGAGCTCTCGCCAGCCCTTGAAAATCCATGGGATAAGGTGTAAATCAGGCACAGGCCGTTCCCATATCCGCAGTAGGTCTTCAAGGTGAACAGCCTCTGGCGTGTTAGAAAAATGTAGGTAAGGGAAGTCAGCAGGTCAGATCCATAAATTTGGCAAAAGGATTGGCTTTTAGGACTGAGTTGGTTGGGCTGAGGCACAAAGCGGGGCTGTCGCTCTCTTCTCCCCTCTTTTGGAGGTGGAGGGGACCTGACCGGCACCCAGAGTTTGCTGTTTCCAAGTTGGAAGATAGAACCAAGTCCCCTGCACAGGCTCTCCCTTACGGTGGGCTGGCAGGCAGGCGGACTTGCTTCCTGGCTGGCCAGCTGACGGGGCTCGGTAACAGTGTTCTGTCAGCCTTGGCGATGTCACCGAGTCCCCTACACAGGCTCTTCCTCACGGTGGGCTGGCAGGCAGGCGGACTTGCTTGCTGGCTTGCCAGCTGACGGGGCTCGGTGACTGTGTTCTGTCAGCCTCAGCGATGTCAACGTGTGGGTCTGTCCCCATAATGTCCCTGCTTGGGAAGGGGCAAGTTCTCACGGCTGCAGGGGGAGGCTGAAAAGTGTTTTTTTTTTCTCTTTTCTTTTTAAGTTTCTTTTCTTTTTTTCCCTCCAGGATTGTGGCAGCAATGCAGAAGGCAGGCAGGCTTCCCGACTGGCTGGCATGCTGTGCATTTATGACATCCTCAGTGTTCCGCCAGCTACAGGGCTGCCAGCCAGCCAGCCTGCCTGCTGTGGCTGGATGACATCCTTAGTGTCCCATCAGCCTCTGTGATGTTACTGTATAAGCTTGTGCCCAGCAGGCTTGCTGGATGTCTTTATGACATCCTCATGAACACATCAAAATTGTCCCGTCAGCCTCGGCACTTGGGGTGGGACACGTTCTCCCAGATGAAGATTGTAAAGATTTAAAAAGATTTTTTAGTTTTGTTCCTCCCCCCACCCCCCGCAGGTCTAGGCTTGTGGCAGCACAGGCTTTTTCCGGCTGCGTCCGGACACCACTTCCACAAGTTCGGGCACTTTTCCAGGTCAGTCCACCTAAGTGACACGTGTACAGGAACTGTAGTACGAATGGAGGGGGCACACTCGAAGAAATTTTTGAGGAATCTAAATTTGGCACGTCGGGCAGGGGACTCTGGCTGATCATTTAGGTTTTTTTTTTCTATTGATCCAATTTTAATTAAGTGACCACTTATAACATTTTATAATTCCCTCTTTCTGGACCGGAAAAAGTCCCTATCCAGAAAGTTGGATAAATAACTCTATTCTTTTGCATATCTTTGAGCAGGGAGGCGGAAATATTAATGACCTGGTGGTCCAGTGGTCTCTGCCAGTGCTTCAGTTCTGTACCTTGCAGAGCTTAAGCCCTCCTCTCATGAGCTCTGCATTGATTGTATCATAGCATTGCCGTGGTAACCTGCAGCAACGCTCTGAATGCCGTGCTCGTGAGAGTAGTGCTTAGTATCTGCACCCAGGAAAGGTGCAGAACTGAAGCACTCTATGACCGCTCTGCCACATCATGAAGACTGGGGGCCTTCCAACCTGCCAATAAAAAAGTAGAGCTCCCTCTCTAATCGGGCCAGCCGTGGCACTATCTCTCCACTACCAGGGCACTCTGAGGTAGGGCAGGTCCTAGTTGTGCAAGCTGTGCCAGACGCCCGGTGCCCCCTGTGGCCGTACAGCTCGCACACCCCTAAGACCGGCCTTGCGCCTACCCCAGGGGGTAAGTGCATTGTAAGAAATGAGTACGCCAAGAGCTGACTGGCTGGCCACCTTGACTCCCCCAGGATGCGGCTGGCTGTGTGCTAAGGCAGAGTAGGCACCTGAAAAAAAAGAAATATGAACGCTAACTTTGGCCTTGATTTGTCACTAAGTGGCTACTACAAAAAGACCAGACATACCCCATTTTTAATACCCTGGGTTGTGTATTTTTGCAAATGGTATGCCATGATGGGTGTAATTTTCATTCCTGGGCTGCTCCTCGAAGGCATCATAGGCCCAGCAAACCAACCTGGCAAATATCCGTGTGTACAAACTAAAGAGGGAAAAGCCCTATTTTTGACCCTGTAGCTTTCAAAAACCCCATAAACCTATGGGGCAGGGCCAGATTAAGAGCCCAGTGGGCCTGGTGCTGACAATTATGATGGGCCTAATTACAAAATCTTATTGACCAAAAACACTAAAACAGTCCTACCTCCTAAGCGTCATGTATCTCATGGAGATGGTGCTGGAGGGAAACTCATAGGATGCAGCTATGAGAAAACACATTCCCTATGCTAATCTCATACTTTCATCTTTCAAGTAAACCCGTCCCATACCATACCCCCTAACAGCAGTGTCCAGTAAAGCAGGAAGTCTATGGATGGGGTAAGAGGTGGGCCACTGACACAAATCCCATAACCAGAACTGCCAAAAGGGGCAAACAAAAAGGGGGCATGTCTGTGTCCCCATGTCTTCGCGTCCCTTAATGTCTGTGTCCCAATGTCTCCCAGTGTCCCCATGTCACTAGGACACTAGGGGACATTGAGACACTGGGAGACATGGGGACACCGGGATACTAGGGAACACTGGGAGACCTAGGGACACTGAGACTCTCGGGGACACTGGGAGACATGAGGACACTGGGTGACTTTGAGAAATGAGGGGACACTGGGAGACATGGGGCACTGGGACACTGTGATACATAGGGGACACTGTGATATATAGGGAACACTGGAGACTTGATAAAGACCTGGGTATAGGTCAAAACATTGCGCTGTCCAATAAACCTACTTAAATCTATCACAGTGAGTACCTGAGATTTTTTTTCTTTTATACTAGGGGACACTGAGGTACTTGGGGGCACTGTGCGAAATGGGGACACTGGGAGACTAGGGGATTCTGAGAGAATAGCGGACACTGAGACACTACGGATACTGAGACACTACGGACAACCACTGGTAGACACCAGGGACACTGGGAGACATGGGGCACTGGGAGAGGTAGTGCACTGAGACACTCTGATACATAGGGGACACTGGAGACTTGATAAAGACCTGGGTACAGGTTGAAACGTTGCGGTGTCCAATAAAGCTGCTTAAATCTCATAGTGAGTGCATGAGATTTTTTATTTTATACTAGGGGACACTGAGACACTAGGAGATATGGGGACATTGAGTCACTGGGAGACTAGGGGACTTTGGGAGACTAGGAAATACTGAGACACTAGGGACAGTGGCACACTATGGACACTGAGAGACATGGGGATACTGAGATACTAGGGACACTGGCTGGGAGACATGGGGACACTGGAGTGCCCCATATCTCCCAAGTCTCAAAGTCGCCCAGTGTCCCCATGTTTCCCTGTGTCCCCCAGTGTCTCCATGTCTCTCAGTGTCCCCATGCCCAGTGTCCCTTAGTGTTTGTATCCCCATGTCTCCCAGTGTCCATTAGAGTCTGTGTCCCCATGTCTCCCAGTGTCCTGATGTCACTAGGGGCTACTTAGAGACATTGGGACACTGTGAGACTTGGGGACACAGACACTGGGAGAGACATGGGGACACTGAGATACATGGGGACACTGAGAAACTAGGGCACTCTGGGAGATGAGGGACACAGACACTAGGGACACTGAGAGACACCAGGCACACTGGGAGACATGGAGACACTGAGAGACACCAGGGACACTGGGAGACACTGAGACACTAGGGACACTGGCTGGGAGACATGGGGACCCTGAGAGACTAGGGGCTACTGTGTCCCTAGTGTCTCAGGGTCCTCATGTTCCCCAGTGTCCCTTTGTCTCCCAGTGTCCCAATGTCTCAGCGTCCCCATATCTAGCAGACTCGAAACTGCTGTCTGGACTCTGTGTGCAGAGCTGCTCCCCCGCGGATCAGTGAGTAGAGAGAGGCAGGGAGGGAAATGATGTAACTTCTTATCCCTGCCTCTCTCCACAAAAACAGCGACCCATACTGGCCGGTGCTGGTATTGTAGAATAATCTCTCTTTATACCGAGACAGACATTTGTATTGCCGGTATTACTGCAATACCAGCTAGGCAGCCTCAAATACCTGAGAAGTACTTCTGAGAAATACCTGGCAACCATAAGAAATACATGAGAAATACCTGGCAACCCTAAGAGTAGTGAGTAAAAAATAAAAAAAATGTTTGGGCCTGGGCCTGGAGCTGCAGCTCCATCAGCCCCTATGTTAATCAGGCCCTGATATGGGGGCATCATTGTACTTGTGGGACATCATAGCATTATTATTATTATTAGTAAAGTGCCAACAAATTCCGTAGTGCTGTACAATAGGTGGACTAACAGACATGTATTTGCAAGAAGACGAGCTGGATTCACAGGAAAAGAGTGTCGAGGGACCTGACCAAACAAGCTTACATTCTAGAGTTAGGGGGGTAAAGTGGCACAAATATGTGTATTTTTGCAGTAAAAGCAAACAGTATTAAAACATTCACAGTTAAAATGACAAAGAACTTGAAAAATAACATTTATTTCTCACACTTGTTTTTTTTTAGCTTTTATTCATGTTAAATTATGTTTCATATACAAATATTTCATATGAAATGAAATCCCTATTTCTCCTGAATAAAATTATACATAATGAGTGTGGATGCACTTAGTATGAAAGAGGTAAATTAGTGTTGAACAAATATAGCTCAAATTATAGGTTTTTTTCAGAACTTGTACAATTACCTTTGTCCTTGAGTACATGAGTAAACCATACATATACATGCCTCCCCTAAGGCAGGAAAGGCATACCTACCCAAACCGGTTGATGCAACCCTTCATTAATACAGTAGACTCAATGGGAATCTCTTTATTATTTAACACGCCTTAAGTTTCCTCATTCTTTACATATTGATATTTTGAAGAAGATCAAAGCTCAAGACTACGACTTATATTCTGTTTAACGATCTTGGACAAGGTAGTTTCTCAGTTAGTGCTACCATTACATGCACAAAGGTAGATGTTCTTCTGACAGGTAACCTCTTTTGGAAATATAGACTTTTATTTGCAGTTTTATATTACATTTGTAGTGTTTAGCTATCACTTACATTTGTTTGCTCACTATAATGTGTATGTGTATTCTAGATATAATGTGCTAATGTAGTTTTAATGTGTGAAGGTTCTGTGTATTTTGCAATGCTTGTACAATGCACATGTTGTGTATGGCAATGAGGAAAATCAAGTGAGAAAAATATGTTTCTTTTAACTTTTTTGTTTTTAAACACAATATTTCTCTCAATACCTCATCTCTCATCACAA